CTTCTTATCTGTGGAATAAAATCATCCCTATAGATGACCTTCAAGTCCTCTGAGCTCTTGAATGCTGCTTCTACACCATCAATGAATCAACTCCACTTAATTATCTCAGTCGATCACCCCTGCTTCAGTACATGTGTGATTGTGAGAGAATTTGTTGATTAATGTATTTAACACATATTTATTGGACATCATACTCAGAGCTGGGTACCCAGTGGCTGATGAACAAACACAGCCCTTAGCCTCATGGGGTTCACAGTCCAGGAGGAAAGGCATACAAAAACAAACTCTCGAATGAGTAATTGCGATAAATGCTGTGAAAAACAACAGAGTGCTGTAAGAAAGAATAATAATAATAATAAAGATAATTTAAACAAGGAAAGGGGGAATGTGGCCAAGAAAGCTTCGTGGGAGGAATGACAAGAGACCCAAAGGATGAGGATTGGCTAGCCAGGTGAGGAGTGATAGAGACAACATTCCGGGCATTTAGGGCAGTGTGTGTGAAAGACCCTGAAGAATTAAAGAGCTCGTGCCTTCAGGGCACTTGCAGAAGGCCATGTGGCTAGAGTATAGCGAACAAGGAGGTTAGCTTGAGATAGAGGCAGATATGGGCTCCACCAAATCATACAAAGCCTCCCCACCATGCTGAGCATTTTGTATAACATCAGAAAGGCAGGGAGAACCTACTGAAAGCTGTTTACACAAGAAAGGGAGGTGATTCAAGTCTTGTTTAAATGATTGTTCTGCTTACTGTGCACGCACTGGAGGAAGACAAAAACAGATAAACTAGTTCAACTAGGAATGAGTCTGGACAAGGGCCAATGGTGGTTTGGATGGGGGAGAAGAGAGTGGTTTTCACATATGATCTTGGGGTGTCCTCATTTTGCTTCTGTAGTCTGCCGCATATGCAGCAGGATACCTGTGGCCTCATGTCTCCGGGTATATGTACATATCAATGCCTATGAGATGTAGGGAGTCCCATTGCCTGTCCAGTGGTCTTCTTTGTCAGCATTCTTCATGTGGGTGTAGCCACAGCCATGTGTCCCACAGACTCCAGGGGACATAAGCCAAGCTTTTAAAATAACCCCCTTGAATCCTCTCTAAGTAGGACTGAGTAGAGAAGGTCCAACCCCTGTCACTGTGTGGGAGGAGCAGGATGAAAGGAGTAGGACCTCAACAGCTCCACAAAGAAACCCTCCCCAGCCCCCACCTTCTTCACTTTTCTAATGTGCTTGATGTGCTTAGCCATCTAAGAGCTATAAACTCCCATTTTGGCAGCCCATTTTTGGAGGCCTGCGAGGAGCCTACCAGCTCACTCGCTCTGTCTTGGACCAAGTGGAGACAGAAAATGTCCCACTCTGACATCCTCACCTCGCCTCCCTCCAGCTGCTCTGTAGAACATGAATGCAGGTGGCCAGCACCCCTCCCATGTCCCTGAGGCCCCCCGGGCCAACCCTCTTGTCTGCTCAGCACTGCTGCCTTGAGCCTCAGCACTGCTGCCTTGAGCCTCACTGCAGCAGCACAAGGTCACCAAGGAGCCTCTCTCCATCTCTGCCTCCTTTCTTCCTACCCTATTAAGGCACCCTGTCCCAGGAGGCTGGGTGACTCCCTGCAGCAGTGCTCTCATGGCCACCCACCTCCTCTTCCTCTCCCACCAGGCAGGAGCTGCTGTCTGATCCAGCCCTCCAACCCCACTTTAAGTATCATCAGCCCTCTCTCACACAGACCATGCCATTCCCCCTTTATTGGCCATTTTCCCAAGAGTCCCAACAGCTCAGACTCTGAGACAGAAACTCAGGTAAAAAATGGGCAGAATTTCAGCACTTGCACTCCTTGGCAAGACATACAGAAGAGCAGAAACGGGCAAAGAAAGTGGCATTTGCTAGCCTGAATTGAGTTGAACGGTGACATGGAGGAGGCTGAGATTTTCTGGAGTAATGAAGAGGAAAGGAGTAGGAAGAAACCAGAGCTGATACCTTAAGTGGTACCAGATGTGGGAGAAGGTCAAAGAATCTACCATAAGATCTTGTCTGTCTTCGAAAGCATCATGCTAAAGTCACAGAGAAGAAGAATGACCTGGGTTTAGGGAGTAACCACTCTTTTAAGGACTTCATGCTAGTCACCAGGTAAAGGCAGGCTGTATCCTAACCAAAGCTCACGCATGTCTGACAGGAGCAAACGCTAAGCATGGGCTGCGCTGCAAGGCCTGTAAGATGAGCATCCACCACAAGTGCATGGATGGCCTAGCACCCCAGCGGTGCATGGGCAAGCTGGTAAGGGCTGGTGCCAGGAGTAAGCCCAGAACCCCCTGCCCATCCAAACTCCTTCCCTGTGGCACCCTGATAGCCAGACACTAGGAAGGCAGCCCCCAAATCCCTGGCCTACCAATAAGGCTTCCTTGTTGGCATAGTGATCAAGCAGAAGAGGAGCTTTATCAACCTGAGAGACAAATGCTCCCCATGTGAAAAGGACTCCATGTCCTTATCAGGGTGACCAACTTGTCCCGGGTTGGAACTTTTTCAATTTTAGCACTGCAAGTCCCACATCCTGGGACTGTCCGTGTTTTAAAGATGAAAGTGAGGCATCCCAGGAACCTTCCCAGCCCATAAAAACGAGGGTGGCTGGTCACCTCAGTGCTAAATTGGCTGACGGCTCACTGGATGTCAAGAAGGGGAGAGAGATTAACCAGCCCCCTGAAAATGGAGAGAATAATAAATATCAACGCACCACTTTAAGAGATCATGGTGGCCAAGCCAAGGAAGGTCAGATGGCCCTGGCCCATTCTAGTCTGGTCTTAGCATCTTGGGAGCATGGGCTTCAGTACTGGTGCCACATGTGGATAAAAAGCAACCCAGAGCACTTTTGAGGGTATCAATACTAGGATGGCCAGAGAACTGTCAAAGGGACCAAGAATGTCTACCCTAGAGATACTTAGGCTGTGACAGCTGTCTTCAAAAAAATTTAAGACCTGTCATACAAAAGAGGAATTCTCTCCTGTCCTGTGGCTCCAGGGAAAAGACCTAGGATCAGTAGATACCAAGTCTTAACAAAGAGCTAATGTCACCAAAGACCTGCCTCCATGGCTAGTGAGAGCTCCTCCCACCCACCCCCCAGCAGTGGCAGTGTTCAAAAAAATGAAGATACCACTTGCCAGGAACATGGGCTAGGATTCTGGAATTCCAGTAGGGGCCGGGCCACAAAGTTCCCTTCCAACACTGGCATATAGTAACTCAAGGTTCTTAGAGAGTTCATCTCCTTACTCTGATTGGCAGTGTCCTCTTCTCTAAAACCCCTGCCTCACCTGTTCCCTCCTCCTCCTCCAATGATTTCCACAAGCCAAGGCAAAGACCATGAGTGAGAGATCAGAAAAACATAGCAGAGAGTCTAGAACACAAGGCAAATGACTCTGTGGGGAACTTGTCATATATCCAAGGTCCTTTTGGCCTCTCTCTGAGGTCTGCTTCCCCTTGTCCAGGCCTTTTGTGAGTTTAATAAACCTCAATAGTAAACCGCAGTGAAATAATGCGTGCCAGTCCATTTGTATCCTGGGGGATCATGAGGAGCCTGGACACAAGGGAGGCTGCTATGGTCTGCACAAGGAAGAGAGGCAGGAAAGGGAAGGGCAGGGCTGGGGCTTGCTTATTGCCACCTGTAACTCCCATCCCGCCCCCCCACCCAGGGATAAATTCGAGGACAAGCCAGCATCTTCAAGGGCAACAGAGCGGTGCCCCCTGGAGAAACCAGCTGGTATGATTTTCAGAGCTCTTGTGTGGTTTTCTCCATCTCCGCAGTGACATTAAGCCTTTCTCTTTCTCATTCTCTCTCCAGCCAAAAGGGTTTCGGCGTTACTACAGCTCCCCCTTGCTCATCCATGAACAGTTTGGATGCATTAAAGAAGTTATGCCCATCGGTGAGTTGGGACGCTGATGGGTTGAGCTGGGTTTTGAGCAGCAGTGTCAGCATTAACAGCTGTTGCTGTCTCAGGACCGCAGATCTAGCGGGCTATGTTTGTGAGTCTGTCTGGTGGCTGATGGCATTATGATCGTTTGCTTTGCTGGAGAGGAAACATAAGGAGGAGCAAATTCTCCCCTCCCCGATGAAGCTTGAAAAACACCCACGTCCCAAAGGCTGCTGATATGCTACACCACCCCTCAGCATCATGGCAGAGTGGGAAGAGCATGGAGCCTAGCATCCCACAGACCTGTCTCAGACCCCAGCTCCCCCGCTGACCCACTAACTGTGTGTCTGGATGAGTTACTCAAACTGTCAGACCCTATAAATGAAGAATAGCAAAATCTGCTTTTCATAATTGTTGCAAAAAAATAAATGTAAATTATAGACCAATGCTTGGAAGGAACTCTGTGAATATCAGTTTTTCTTTAATGAGGACAAAAAAAAATGTCTTATATTTATAGATCTTTCTGGCTTGAAATTTTCTTTAACAATATCTTTCATTTTACTTCTATTTTTCTCTCTCTCCCTAAGAATCTCCATCTCTTTTTGCCTTTGGAGGGGGCAAGCTTTAAACTAGAAAGCTTTTAAACAGAAATTCATGAGGCCTGGTAATGTCAAATTCTTTCACAAAGACTTGCCTCTTACTGCAAACTTTGAGTCTTGCTCAAGGCTTTATACCTTGGTGAGCAGAACCTCACACTAGGGGAAATAAAGCTGGTATTGGGCAGAACCTTGACATTGGAGTCCTAATGATGGATAACAAAAGAGGAAAACCAATAAATCAGGAAGCGTCTGGGAGCAGAGAGCTCTGGATGTAAGTGGTGGGTGCACGGGAAAGACCTGGCCAAAGGGCACATATTGTGGGGGGCCCATCTGCCAGGAAAGCTTGACCACACACAGCTCCATTTTCCCAGGGGTTAGTGAGTCTGTGGCACAGAACCTTCTTCTCAAGTGCCACTGACCCAGGAGGTCTGATAAATTCTTGGCTGCTTTCCTGATGGTGAGTGGAGGAACCCTGTCACTCAGATGACCTTTCTCTTCCATTGCAGCCTGTGGCAATAAGGTGGACCCTGTCTATGAGACCCTCCGCTTCGGCACCTCCCTGGCCCAGAGGACCAAGAAGGGCAGCTCCGGCAGTGGCTCTGATTCGCCTCACAGAACCTCTGTAATTATCCCCCTCCTCCCTCAGTCCACCTGCAGTGCTCTGGGGAGGGCAGGCCTCAGGGGCTCCCCATAAATGCATCGTGAGGGCAGGTCTTTGGGAGTCAGGCAGCCTCTGAAGGAAAATCCCAGGTGCCTTGGGCCACTAGAGGTTAACTTCCTGTTTGTTGCCAACACCCAGGGATCATTTTACTTTCATCCTCAAAGACCACGCTCTTGGCCTCATGACCCTTGACTCTCCATGTGCTCCCCCCTCCCTGCCCTCCCACCAATATTTGATCGCATGGCAGTCAACACAGAAGGGTTTCATCCAAACAGTGGCAGAGGCAGGGAAGTCCCAGCTGTGGCCAGTTTTCCAAATCTCCTTCCGGCTACATCCCAGTTCAAGAATACAGCTCTTTCTCACGTTTTCTCAGTCTTTTCTCTCTAAGGCAAGGTACTCCCCTTGGTTTCACACAAAAGCTGCCCTCCCCAGAGGCACTGGACCTGTCTCCATGGGACACTCAGCCTCCCAGACACCTCTCCCACATTTTATTTGGTCTAAAATGACTGCCCCGTGCATCTCTGTGACACGCTGTCATCATCCTATCTCTGGCTGTCCCAACCAGAATTTCTATAAATACCCCACGATGCCACACAACTCTTGCCACTCATGCTGAAGGCCAACATCTCTCCTGCAGAGACAAGGACCTTCCAGTTGATGTTGCCAATTAGGATGGCTTGCACCCAGTTACTGGTCCCATTGTTGCAGCCCCTATTAAAATAAGGATTTCAGGGCAAGGCGCACAGATGAGCCCCCCAGCTGGGTCCTGTCAACATCAAGTGATTAGGGTGAATGGAGAAGGGGGATGCATACCGGTCGGAGGGTGGGGCTGAGTGGAGGCAGCTCCTTCAATGGGTGCAGGTCAATCCACAGGATATAACTGAGATGTTATGTGGGTGGATGTGTAGGTCATGTGGGTGAGTAGGTAGGTTTGAAGGTCTTCAGACTGATGCCACATGGTCATCCTAGATGCCACCTTTTTTTTTTTTTTTAGATTTTATTTATTTATTTGAGAGACAGAGCATGAGCAGTGGGGGAGGGAGAAGCAGACTCCCCGCTGAGCAGAGAGCCGGACGTGGGGCTCGATCCCAGGACCCTGAGATCACGACCTGAGCTGAAGGCAGATGTTTAACCAACTGAGCCGCCCAGACGCCCCTAGATGCCACCTTTAAACCTACTGAAAGCCCTGTTCTTCATGCATCCCACTAACTTCTAAGAAAGAAGAACCAAAACATATTGTACTCTTTTTCCTTGCTGACCCTAAAATTGATGTCAATTAGTTCTCTCTTCTACTCAGTTAGCAAACATGAATTAAGTGCCTAGAGTTCACCAGCACTGTAGAGGACACAGAGGAAGGGGAGGACATGGCTCCTTACTCTCAGAATTCACCACTTACTTCAGAAGACCAAAGCAGTAGAGCACAAAGCCGATGATGACAGCATTATTTGGCACTTTTTAAGAAATACACTTTTATCTGTCTTGTGCTATTTGTATTAAGAATTGGAACGTAACATACATGTTAAGTGTATTATAATAGCTATGGCATAGGAGCACGGCAGGATTTCGGGGTAAAGAAGGAAAACGTTTCAGTAGACATTGCCCTCAAAGCAGTGCGGGTATAAGTTGTGACATTTTAAGGTACCTGATCCTGATGATCTCCCTAGGGAGGCCATACATCACGTTGGCAGTCCCAGTGATAATGTTGATTCTGGCGACATGGGTTGGATGATAATAAGAATATAAGGAAAGTTTCTAGCACAGAGCCTGGCACTCAATAAATGGAAGTTGCTGATGTTTAATTTTCATTAAGCATTTAGCCCTTGGCTGGTGATGTGTTGACGTGATGTGATGAGTGATGTGGTGAGTGATGACGAAGTGAAACAAGGGTGTAATCCATTAGAAAGGTAAATACGTTCTCTGAGGACATGTCCCAGGCCATTCATGGGGCCCATTCTTGGGCTCAGTAAGAGTTTGGACTCACTCCAGGGTTCCACCCTGCTGTCCCTCAGCCTGTCTCCTCTCATATGTCTGCCAGTCACTCCTTAAGTCAGCGATGTTCCCAGGGCTCTGCTTTGCCTTGGCCTTCCTGTGCCACCAGTTCTTCGTGGTTATCTCATTCACATTCCTCTGGTCCAACCGCCATGTCCAAGCTGATGACTCCTCAGATACTTCTAGTCCTAACCTCCAGACAGGTCCTACAGATATCTCTAAATTGGCATGTCCAAGCTCAAATGATGCTCCACTGGTGATCAGGTCCTCTAACTCAGAACCCAGAAATGTGTATCAAAAGTGCCCTTCATCTCTGTCCCCAGTGCTGGAGGTTTGAATCTCATCATCTCTCACCCAGATTATTTCAAAGGAATAGCTGTGTTCCCCTCTTCCTTTTGAGTCTACTCTTATCAATACCTCCAGATTTATCATCTTTTAAAGAGAGACCTTGTGCAGTTTTCCAAATCAAAACACTGTATTGACTTGCTTATGCCCGAACGACAATGCTTAAACTCCAGCATGGCATGTGAGGCCTGTCACTGCCCTGAAGACCGACCCACCTTCCCTTGAATATGCCAAGCTCTTTGACTTATTCATACCTTAGGACATGCTGTTCCCCCAGTTGAAGTTCTTTAAGACCAGCTTGATTTTGACACAAACCATGAAGAGTTCTCAGACTCCCCCAAGCACAATGAGTTGCTCCTCCCACAGGCCTTCAAAAAATTCCTTTCTTATAAGATAGAGACGATTGCAATGTAATTTTCTGCTTTTGCCTCTCTTTCCTGAACTAGATACTGAGCGACTGTACAGTGGGGCCCTATTCCCTATTTGTCTCATTATACCAGGCCCTGGCACCTAGTGGGTGCTCAAGAAATGCTTGAAGAGTGAGGAAAAAGTAACAGGGATTCTTAAAGACTGACTTCAGAACCCTCAAAATCGACCTGACCTTTTGATGCTCATGCCCCCAGTCCCATGCATACTTTGTAGCTCTCTGGACCACCATGTTCTGCCCAGTTGCTGGGCCTTGCCCCCATCTTGTTTCTACCTCTATGAAGACAACATCTCTCTTCCTGGTCTGCGTTGGGTACCCCTTCCCTGGGCACCCATAGCAGCCAATTCATCAATCATAGTGATTTGCAGATTACTTGGTATTTTTCCCTTTTGCATTTCACTTTTCTCTCTCTCCTTTAGTTTCCTACCCAACTAGACAAAGCTGCTCAAACACGAGGACTCTTGGTTCCCTTCTTATTTCTGTTGTTTTATACCAGTGATTCTCAAACTTTGGTGGGGATCTGGATCCATGGAAGAGCTTTGTAAAAATAGAAAATTCAAGGCCCTGTCCTACTACAACAAGCCTGGGCCTCTGTGGGCTTGATTAGCCCTCCAGGTGATTCTGACACCCACCAAAGTTTGAGAACCACCGATCTGTAGATCATGTCCTTCACCCCACATACCACGTTACATTTTTCTTTCTTAGGAGCCCGAGGAGGGCTATCACTTCCCCCAGGGCCACATAGAACTGGCTGTCAGCCTGTAGCCATCACCCCTCACAAATCAAGACTTTCTGCCCAAAAGAAAAACACGAACTGCTCTGGCCACTTGCCCTGCATGCTGAGTGGGCCTTTCTCTTGTCTCTGGGGAGAGCTGGTATTTCCTCAATCCGCTTCCAGTGCCTGCATCTCTCATGCTTGTCTAAGGCCGGCGTTCATTGAAAGGCAAATGGAAAGCCAACTTAGGGAGGCAAGAGCAGAGAAGGGGGCTCCCCAGGAATAGCCCTGATGTTCCCACTCCTGCAGCAGATGGCTGCCCCTGCATCCTAAGCTGTGTCAAACTCACAATGTTCTCAGACCCTCCGCAGCAGACAATGACCATGTTAGCCTCCAGAGTTTGTTCTCATGGTAGAAGTAGCAAGAACATCAAAGAGACAATTTAAGGATGTCCAGTTTGCTTTTCTGTCTGAAATGGTTTTGTTTCCAGCCATGTCTGGCCCCTACAGACTGGTTCTCAGGGCAGAAGACATGGTTTTCTGAATGTCAATAAGGTATCCATTCATCACAGTCCATTTAAACTTCCTGACATTGGTTCTATCAGTAAATATTCTCAGAATTGTGCTCTGTGAAGGCATTGTTCTCAGGGCTGCAAGGAGACAAAGACAAATCAAATTGTACTTAAGTATCTGTCACTTCACTCTTTCCCCAGAGTCCCACTTGCTTCAATGAAGAAAACAGAAACAATTGATTGGTACTTTAAAATGATTTTGCTTCCTTCCTGCAGGGTCAAATGGTAATGAACTTCAGCCACTTGCCATTCTTGCAGTTTTGTTATGTCCTAAAGCTAACATATTCCCACATAGCAAACTCTGTCCCACGCATTTATTTTCTTCCAGGGCTGTCGGGGCATTGGCTTTACGTTGTGGGGAAGTCACTGCCTGGCTGTTTCTAAATTGTTATGTTTCTTTAATGTGTTTTCAAATATTCTGGAATATAAAAGGCTGGACGGCTTTGGGAAGGCCAGCAGAAACCAAATTCAAAAACTTTCTGGGAGTTGGTTGGCTAGTTTGTGAATAATCTTCAGTTTCCTAAGATTAAATTAACATAATAATAGCAACCTTTTTTGCCCATAAATTCTACATTTTATTTTATTTTTTTAATTTTATTTTGTTATGTTACGTTAGTCACCATACAATACATCATTAGTTTTTGATGTAGTGATCGACGATTCATTGTTTTCTTATAACACCGAGTGCTCTGTGCAATAGGTGGCCTCCTTAATACCCATCACTGGGCTAATGCATCTCCCCACCCCCCTCCCCTATAAAACCCTCAGATTGTTTCTCAGAGTCCATAGTCTCTCATGGTTCATCTCCCCCTCCGATTCCCCCCCCTTCATTTTTCCCTTCCTTCTCCTAATGTCCTCCATGCTATTCCTTATGTTCCACAAATAAATGAAACCACATGATATTCTCTGCTTGA